GAATAAAAGTCAACTGAGGAGCTACAGGAAACGGGACTAATGACTGACAGACAATGTGAACAGATAAGTCACTGACTTGATAAGATTCTGACAGGGAAGTCATTAAAAGCCCAACACCTTTCCAGCCCTGGGGAGCCCAAATCCACTTAAGAATTAATGGATTGAAGCCCAGGAGAGCTCAGAGATCGCACAGGCCTTGAGCTCACACTGTGCACACAGAAACCCAAGCAAGCGCCTTGGGTTCTCACACTCCTCAAGAGAAACAAAGACATGCTGCGTTTCTTTCGTCACTGGCCAGTGAAAATGGAAACTCTTATCAGGGCTGCTCAGGAGTTTTTCGCACAATGCTCTGCCCTAAAATCTGTAGCAAAAAAAATGCTCAGAAACAAGGGCTGCTCTTATTCTTCCTTAAAAAATAATGCGGCCATTATTTGGCAGGACAGCTGGAAAATGAATCCCACCATGGGTTTATGTGGTAGAACATAATCGCTCAGCAAACGTCCCAGTTAAAATGACACGCAACCAGAGAGCCTGCTTACACCAGGGCCAAGGACTCAATCCATGCCCTGCCCCCCGGACACACATGCAATTACCCACTGCAGGACATGAGCCAATGTGACAGCAATGCCTGGATCATCTGTTAGTCATTTTCCTAGGTTGCAGAAACTGCAGCGGTTCAGAGCTCTGATTGATTTGATCCTAACCAATCTAAAATGATCAGATGTTTCCCTACATATTGCGCAACCTGTGACAGCAGAGCATGCTTTTGCTACAGTTCAGTTAGCAGTGCAAATAAATCAGCTTAAACAAAACACTCTGCTCCTAAGCTGTTGGCAGGTATGCACCCACTCCACTGTGCAGGAGGCGTGTGCACTAACCTTACTGCTCTGTTCTGTAAAACAATAGCTTCAGCTGAGCAGCCTAAGCCCAAACCTGAGCTACAGTGGGCTGTTCTCTTCACATAGAGCACTTGCTAATTTCAGAAGGCCCATTGTGCTCTCCAGCCTCGCCAGACCACCCTGCCTGCGCCCTCGTCAGGGAGGGATGGGCTCGAGCAGCAGGGCGGAAGTCCAGCATTGTGCCTCTGCCCTGGCCTTCAGCTCAGCTGGGACACAAAGATTCATATCGGGTGGGTGGGGTTTGGCTGAGGACAACTGGGGTAATAATTAACCCGAGCAAAGCAAAACACAAAAATGGCCCCTCAGATGTCAGAGTAAAAAAAAGTAACAGATGTTCACGGTGTAATACCAA